TCGAGCGCCCTAACCACCTGGCCATGCCGGGCCATTCCAGTTAGTTGAAACTACTCTTCTGGAAACTGTCTATATAAAATACTTTATTAGTAACTTTTAATTGTAGCACATTTGTGGCTAGACTTAAACCTGACGGTGCGTTCCATAAGTAAGATATACTCTATTATTTCTGCAATGTTGCTCTCAATAACAGTATTGGTTAGAATGTTTAATGCATTTAATTTGGTTAATTATTCTAATTTTCTTATTATTATACTTTTATTCTAGAAATTATTTTGTATTGTTGGCTTAGTATATGATTTTAGGACTAACCTAAAGCTCTTAAGCTAGTTAAACTTCGTGAGATATCATAGGATATATGGCTGACAAGATCGTTAACAGTGAGGGTACCCAACTGATTCTAATTTTTACAAGTAATAATAGTGTATTTAATTTCTCATAACTGGGTTGATTTTGATTTTTGATCCTAGTAGATAGCTTGCTCTGATCGAAAGTTATTATTAATCTATATTCAGGACAATTGTTTCTAGTTTAAGAAAATATAAATAACACCCTTAAGTAGTGCAATGAAATGTTGTATTATTATCACTTAGACTTAAATATAAAGTGTCCCTTAGCAGTGGTTTATTATGATTACTTGTTTAAATAGTAGACATTAATGTTTTATATAATATGTAAGAATAAAGATTTTAAATCTTATCTCCTAACTTATACACTCACTTTGTCTTTTTATCCCTTGGCAATGCTGAAGCGTAAGTCTTTGATGGAGGAATATCTCTTCACTTGTAATGTAAATGAGGGTATGAGTTAACCCTACCGGAAAAACCAGCACAGACCAGCTTAGCTATCATGCTGCTTTGCCCTGCTGGTATCAGAATGGAATTGTGATGGATTTGCTAGTCTTAGATGGATCTTGATTGGTTTAGGCAGCCAACTTCCAACATTATTCCTGGTTTCGAGCTGGAAGTAATGTAGGGTTTCTGGTTCCAGCTGGTTTAGAAAGTGTAATGTACATAATAAGTATACATTAGAACAGCATAATGTATTAGTGAAACTTCGTGCCGTATCCATGTAGGTCCATCCTTTCAATTAAGGCACAGTTAACAAGTTGTAGATTTATACATATACATATATTTATGTATTCTATTATACGACTTGTGTGCAGCATTTAATTTTTTTTCTTTTTAAGACGAGTAAAGAACTTTATATACTTCAGAAAAATTGTTCATTTGGTTGATTAAAGATATAGCAAAAAACTATATTTAATTTACCGATATTCAGCAGTAACCTCCACCAATGGAATTTAATTGATAAAAGCTTAACTTGGAGTTACAATTAGATAACTTGAGTAGGCACGAAGAGAAGCGGTTAACTAAGAAATCGTTTACTCATTTTACCATCTTCACATGAAATATATTATTTAGGTGTGTTTTAACTTTTAACTCACAACTATACCATACCTTTTAAACTCCCCTGTAATGATTGCACAATACACCTCTATTTCATACACACACCATTAAGATGTCATTTTTTAGCAATTACATCATATAAACCTGTCAACTAATACAGTTAAACCTATTCTGAGTACTGATCATAATTGATCAGAGTTTGTGTAAACAAAACTGTACTGACCTAGCTAATGAAATTGTGGGCTCATGATCACTGTACGTTAATAATTATATGAAGCGATGCTGTAGAAATAATAGATTATGATAGACGGACTCGTAATGTCTTTTGCTTTTTTTTTAAAGTTCATCTTATGATGGATGATATTCTTAATCTCAGTGGAACTTACTTGGTATTACTTTTTGTGATATTTTGAAGAGCTTATAAGAGAAGTTATTAAAATTACAATTGTTTAAAAACAAAGAAAAAGTAGGTTGTTAGGATTATTTTTTGTGTTTCCCTCATTGTGGTCTGTATTCAGTAATTCTTTGTTAAAAATATTTTCATCTTTAGCATTTGAAAAAAAAAACATTATTTACAAAAATATATTTATGCTAATTAACTTTTGTTTTTTTGTAGATAATCTCAAAGCTACACTATGGGCTATCTGTGTTGTGCCAACCACAGGTATTATAACCCCATTTTTGGCATTATACGTCCACAGAGTTACCACTCTGCCACTGAGAGGTACAAATAAGAGATAAAAAAAGTATGTTCATCACTTTTGTGGCCCAGCATAGCCAGGTGGTTAGGGCGCTCGACTCGCAATCTGAGGGCCGAGCATTCGAATCCCTGCCCCAACAAATATGCTTGTCCTTTCAGCCGTGGGGGCGTTATAATGTAACGGTCAATCCCACTATTCATTGGTAAAAGAGTAGCCCATTAGTTGGCAGTGGGTGGTGATGACTAGCTGCCTTCCCTCAAGTTTATCATGGCCAAATTAGGGACGACTAGTGCAGTAGCCATAGTATAGCATTGTGCAAAATTCCAAACCATCCAAAAATCATCACTTTTGTCCATTGAAGCTTTTTTAAACCAAACAAAAAATTTCTCACTCAATATTTTTTTTCTAAACAAGTCTCTTTAATTCTTCTGTTGTAAAAAGATCATCAGACCTTTTTTGCTATTAAATTAATCACGTAGTAAGCTTAAAACAGAATATGAAAAGATGTATAGTCTTCATATTTATTTAGAATTGTTTTATATAATAATCTAAATCATGGCCAATTCTAACACAAGTCAGTCTGTTTTTCATGAAATATGTTTCAAGTATTCATTGTGAAATAACATCATTGAGTCTGTATACCAACAGGTATGAGCTACACTGTCGGAGAAAAGGTTCAGCCGACTTACCTGCTCTAAAACAAGAAGTAATTCCTATAATCAACAGAGCTGAAAAATCTAGAAAAAACAAAAGCAACCCCAGACCTCGAGTGTCAAATGCTCCTCATCAGTAACGTATTGATTTAGCTGGTGAGTTGATGAATGCTATTGTGTTCTCGTTTTTAATTTTACCAAAGTCCAAATACATGTATATATATGTATACACCTCCAGCACAGTTTCCAGTACATACAGAGTCTCTGTATTGGTTCAATACCAAAAAATAAACAGAAGTTGGATTTTTATAACTTGCTAATCAAAACTTGAAACTTCTTAATTTGAATCGTAGGACAAAATGTAGTTGATGTCATTGAGAATCTTTTCTCTTATTTAAAATCTTCATGAATCTTACTTGTATCTGTTATTCCCATCAGCTTAAAAATTAGTATTTGTTTGTCAACAGGACTGAAAATCTTCCGATGCTTCACAAACATCGGGAGCTTTCAAGATTCTATAAATTAAAGCATATGTTTGTTTGTTTTGTTGTCAAGCACAAAGCTACACAACGGACTATCTGTGCTATTTCAGAATTATAAGCCTTCAGACTTACCAACGACCCACTAGGGGGCTAAAGTTTATGTAATACAAACTTGGGTAATTATTAAAACTCCTACACCCATTCCTATTAACAGTCCAATGCTGTAGATATTGACTAAGTTATGCTACAAAAAATTTTTTTTTCAAGATTTTCATGTTTGTTTTTGGTTGCTATCACAAGAAGCAATACTTGTACATATATAAATGCCGTTATGACGGAGGAGCACTGACACATCCTGAGATACAGTATTCACAGGCATCCTCAGGGGAGGCAAGAAGGGGCACTTGCCCCCACCTGAAAATAAGAAATATGATTCTTTTTTTATTCATTCAGCATATGTATATGAATTTTTTTATTTGATCACAATTTCACAATACTTTACCCCCACCCCCACCCCAAAAAAATTTCTGCAGACACTCGTGACAGTATTGAAACTGTTATTGATAATTAAATCAAATTCCAATGATTGTGTTTTTTTGTAGATGTCCACTGGTTATGTTAACCCAAGTAACCATGTAATCATCATGCAGCTGGGTTGGGCGAGGGTCGACCTAATTATTAGCAAACTGTGAATCCAAGGATTCATGTTTAACGTCACATTACTGCAAAAATTATCTTTGAACATTGGGGGCCATAGGTTCAATATAAGGGTCAAATCTAACCATTCAGTAAGATAAGAGTAATCCAAGTGTTGGCAGTGGGTGCTGTTCACTGGCTGCCTTCTTTCCATTCTGTCGGTTAAAAATTAGGGATGTATATTTTCCGACAGTCCTATGTGTAGCTTTGTTGAAAATTTCTGAAACAAACAAAAAAAAACATCATACAGCTATATTATCAACCTTGCTAGCATTCTTTAGAGGGTAAAGCCAAAAGGTGACCATCAAAATCATAAAACAATGGAATTGAGGACATATGTAAACGTAGAAAGTAAAGACGTTAAAAACTACATACATGTGTCTGTGTGTACCTGGGTAGTTGAAGGAATACAAGGATGTTTAAATACCAACTTGCATGAAAGTACACTCCAAGGAAACCAGTCGATAACATATTTTGTGATACACTTCCTCACTGGACAAAGAGATGAGAAATGTGGGAGTGTTTTATAGTGCAGCTTAAAAAGATAACGGATGGTGCTGTAAGTTATGTTGTATACTGAAATTAAGGTCAAGTGTATATATATGTTTATTCCTCTGCAGTTTATATCGTTGGATTTTACATCAAAACTATTCATGATTAATAATTATTTAAAAAGTAATAATAATTATAGTGAAATTAAAAAAGCTTCTAGTTTTTCTATATACTGTTGTTTTTTAAATATTTTTTTCACTTCTAGTTTCAGGGTTACCTTTGGAAGAATGGAAACAGCAACCTTCATGAAAAACAATTCGCATTTCGAGAAACAAAGTATGCTCTGTATTTCTTTTTCTTGCACATAAGCACACATTTCAGACACTACCCAGCTCAAATGTGATTTATTTTGTATTTTTTAAAAGAATTCGTTATACATTTTTAAAATACTTAAACGGAATATTTATTTTATGAAAAGGAAATTATGTTTTATAAAATGGTCTTATAACTTTTTTTCTTCTAATTGTTATGTTGTGATACTATGTTAAAGAGGAGTTATAGTGTGAACCAGTTTCGAGTAAGAGGTGTTTTTTTTTATATCGTATATTATTATCTTATGTGTTTAATTTCAGTGCTTTGTTGGGCAAGTTGTATTTTGGGCTAAGGTTGTTTCGAAATTTGATCGCAAAACATTGATTCAAGTTAGAGCAATAAGTAACTTAGAAGTGTGTAAAAAATAGTTTTTGTGATGTTAGATTTTTATCGAGTGCTACATTAAATGGGACTTGATTATCAAAAGAAGTTGTAGAATCATAATAATTCTTGATATTAAGTTAATGCAGAATGATATATCGATAATGCTATGTATGATAGTGATATGGAGTTGAATATATGCAGCTAGTAAAAATATCAGCTAATATATTCGATGTAAAATTTCTTCAAATAATGAAAAAAATAAGTGTTGCCGGTTATATCTGTTGCTTTTCTTATTGCAACGGGCTGTCACTGGAGGTTTACCAGCTGAGTGATGTATTTAAAACTTCATTATGTTGCAAAATCAAATAAGTGTGTAAAAAAATAATTTAGTAAATATTAATCCCTAACAATCTATGGTAAAGATGCTAAAGTTTAGCAAATATTAATCCCTAATAATCTCTGGTAAAGATGCTAAAGTTTAGCAAATATTAATCCCTAATAATCTCTGGTAAAGATGCTAAAGTTTAGCAAATATTAATCCCTAATAATCTCTGGTAAAGATGCTAAAGTTTAGGTTGTAGAGTCTATTGTTAGTTCATAGTACCTATAAATGTAGATTGTAATGATATCGTAGGAATTATCTTAGGTAATTTTAATAACTTACAGGAATATTGTTGTTTTTGTTGGGCAGGCTTGACTACTGTTGATTATGGGCTAATCTATATTTATTTTAGAAGCTCAAATAAAATAACCACAGTTCCTTTAGAGAATAACAAGCACCTTGAACACTTGTATATTTTGTTTCCATGATGTTATATGAGTCACTAAAAACTTTTTATATATTCCTGTTGCTTGTTAGTAAGCTAGGCTCTCTTTCCTGGCATGGCGTAGGGCTTCTCAAAGGATTTTTAAAGCGATTGAGAAAAAAAAAGACAAATACAGATGACAACTAAAAAATAGTTAAGCAACTGCAGAATAATATGGATAAAAGTAATGGTTACAGATAAACTATTATGGACATGACTCAGAACATTTAGCTTTCATCAATTGTTGTCAGTGGAGGGTATGTAACATTACACACTCCTGTGCTGTTTCTCTTATTGAATCCGGCCCGGCATGGCCAGGTGGTTAGGGCGCTCGACTTGCAATCTGTGGATCGCGGGTTCGAAATCCCTGTCACACCAAACATCATCGCCCTTTCAGCCGTGGGAGAGGTATAACGTGACGGTCAATCCAATTATTCGTTGGTAAAAGAGTAGCCCAAGAGTTGGCAGTGGGTGGTGATGACTAGCTGCCTTCCCTCTAGTCTTACACGGCTAAATTAGGGACGGCTAGCGCAGATAGCCCTCGTAACTTTGCACGAAATTCAAAACAAACAAACAAACTTATTGAAGTAATGGAAAGTGCAATATTATAATCTAAGGCTCATTTTCTGACAGTTTCTACTTAACAACTAAATAGGTCAGTTATTGCTGTTTCCGAGATCACAACCCTCGAAATGTGTGACATTAATAAGAAATAGAGAATAATAAACTTATGATTTACATTTTGTGAAGCATTTTCATGCTATTCTCTACCGGCATGCCTTGTCCAGTGTATTTGTCTATAAAAACTAGCTGTGATTTTAACACCAAATTTAAGGTCAGAATATTTTGGTGGAATTGCTTTATAAGTTATGTTACTTCATATCAATCACTCTTCCATTTTTTTTTTTTTTTTCAGATTAATAATTTATAGAAATGGTTAATTTAGCATGCTAGTTATTAAGCCTACTGTAATTATTTGCAGTCTAATGGAGGTTATATTACTAGTTCTGATACATTTGTTGTAAAAAAAAAATCATTTAATATCCACACACACACACTTTAAATCCCGAAAAATTATATTTAGCTAGTTTTCACTTAAAAAATCATAATTACTTAAAATACGGAAATATTTGAAACATTTCTTTACCAGCTTTCATTAGTCCTAAGTAACTGTTGTCATGATAAGTAAAATAAAAATATCTGCACCAAAGTTTAAAAGCTTTTGTTCCCGAACTATTATCATTTCAGTGATTTGATTTCTGGCAATGTCTTGCAAGTAGATCTTTTTTTCGCTCACCATACCCCTGCAGTATTGGTAACTGGTTTTCTGTTAAAATATTCGTTTTCTGGTATTTTACATCGTACGTGAAACACACACACAACAATCTTGCTATTCTACCATGCTAATATACATTATGATATCATCAATTAGAAGGTAGCACATACTGTAATCACAAAATAGTAATAACTAATCAAACACAACTCCAAAAATATCATAACTTCCTTGATCCATCACATGCAGGGGCATGTGTTATAATGGTATCTTCCTTTTTTTTATGAAAACAAACCTCACATCTTGATTACACGTGTTTAGTTAATGTATTTATTCATTCCATTTAGTCACCATTACAAGTTAGCTATCCTCCGCTTTGTTGTTTGTGTATCTGTTTCAGTTGGCACAAAGGACCATCTACACTGTGCCTGCTGCAGGGATTGAACCCCAAATTTTAGCATTAAAAGTCCAGAAGCTTATCGTGCCCTAAGCCAATGGGAGACTCTCTCCCTTGCTTTCACAGTACTTTGATTACAGGCCCGGCATGGCCAAGTGGTTAGGACGCTCGACTCGCGGTCTGAGGGTCGCGAGTTCGAATCCCCATCACACCAAACATGCTCGCCCTTTCAGACATGGGGGCATTATAAGGTGACAGTCAATCCCACTATTTATTGGTAAAAGAGTAGCCCAAGAGTTGGCAATGGGTGGTAATGACTAGCTGCCTTCCCTCTAGTCTTACACTGCTAAATTAGGGACGGCTAGCGCAGATAGCCCTCGTGTAGCTTTGTGCAAAATTCAAAAACAAACAAACTTTGATTACAATAATAATAAACCAAAGAAATCAACTCTGATGTAAATTATCACAGGAGTTTTAACCTCTCCTTCTTTATTCAGAACCAGGCAAATAATAAACTTTCTGTTCCCATATTTTTGAATTAGGCCAGCAGTTCTGAATGTGGCTAATAATTTGTTATCCTGCTTAGTCGGTATTTCAGCCAAGGACAAATGAGCATCTGAGGTTTATTGTGTTATATGACATATTACTTCCTCCTGTATCATCTTGCCCAGATATATTAAGGAGTGACAGCTGCAGAAAAACAAAAAATGCTTCCTCTACTTTTGGTATACTCATAATTGATCCTGCATGGTTTTACAGTTCATAAAATTTCTAAATCTTCAGTAGCAGATATCGCTGAGCCACGCACACACGCGAGGCTAACTAATTCTTGTTCATACCTAACATTTATTTTCATTTCCTGACTATGTTTTTGGGATACACGTGTATAGCCAACCTCTCATTCTTATCTTCAACTTGCCTAAGCTATAACCCAGATTGTTTTGGGTAACTCTTTATGTTCAGTACCGAGTCATATTAGGCCAAAGTATCAGGTCTTGGTATCTTCACATTTTATACTGATGAATACCAGATTAAATTTTCATATCCTAATTGAATGAAATGTTACTAATCACATAATCACATAATCATCAGAAAATCAGGCTGACTTTTGTTGAGTAAAATGAGAAAATAGAAATCTGAATAATAAGTGTAAGTAGAAGTGAAAATAATGGGATAAAGAAAAATAAATCATGGTTGTAATTTAGCAAGAAAACAAGGTTATATTAATATAACATGGTAATTCTTAAGTATATGTTGTTAAAGGTAGTGTGTTATCTTAAGAAAATAATTCATCTACACTTCTCAACTGTATAACGAGCTGTTCTCATCAGCAAGGAGAAAAAAATATAAAATGTATTTAAATATTGATCTTGGACTATTTATCAATGTTTCAAATGTGTCGTAAAAAGTAAATGTCTTTAATATGGCTGTTCCATCATGATAATCAGCAGGAAAGGAGTTTTGATTTTGGTATTGGATAAAAGTGATTCAGCGTGTTCAACACATTGAGACATACAGCATCGCCTCTTTAAATCTTGCAGTAAAATAAGTTGACTGGGTAACACATGGTGCAATTGGACTGACAAATTAAACTACAGGAAATCTTTAATGAGAGTATTTGAAACACTGCTAACTGTCTTTACATTATTTCATGTGTTTGAATACAGTATTTATTTAGTAACTTTGAAACATTTTACTATTAAAAAAAGGGAACTTTAATGATACCAACAATGAATAAAGGAATAATTTTCTTCTTTAAATTTGAAAATACTAAACCTCTTTCTTGGGATAATTTGAATAAAAAAACTATGTGGGTGTGTTTGCAAAAGAAATAAAAAAAAGTTTTGAAAGTGTTAATTCTATGGATGGATTTTCTTTTATTTAAAGAAAAGTATTAATGGGCAGTTGGTATAGTTAAGAGTAATTATACAATTATGTAACATTTTGTAGTATTAATTAAAGAAATTAGAATAGCTTATATTTTTAATGATCTGTAGATACTAAAATTTGATTTCTTCAACTATATGTTTTAAAGTTAGTATTATATACATGGTTATATTAATTTTTAGAAGGGGCAATATGTTTTATTCCTTCCAAAATTAGCATAGTGTAAAGAAAGTGCCATATAATAATTGATTCTTGCATAATTGAATTATTATAACTGTACATTGTGCTATATTCTTATTGAGATGTTTATCCAAGTGTGAAGATTTTCTCTGTGACACGCACGTGTACTGTTTCCTTGTTATAAGCCTCGTGTCTGCAAATGTTTCTAAAGAATAAATACTGCCTGCAACTGAAAATCTCAAACAGTATCTTGTTTGTTTCTATCAATGCTTACGACTTTTAGTCGGTGTGCATTGTCGATAGGTGAATATTTTCAACATCTTGAACTTACTAAAGTGTTCACATTGTGGTAGGCTGATATACTACTTGCTACCTAATCTCATATTTTCAATATTTCTCTATATATATCATGCGTAGTCTTATGTACAGAGAGCCACTAAGTTCCTCTTGCCCTAGTTACCTACTGAACTGGATCACTCAGCTAGCATATCATATGCACTTTCTTGTAAGAAATTTACCTATAAAGTGGAGCACACACACTCGTTGTATACTATATAGAAATAGACAGTGATAATTTCCACTGCAAGTTGCACCGGCTGGAACATGATTTGATTATATTGATTTCATTTAAATGCACAATTTGATATGTGAGCTCTCCAGTACAGATGCTCATGGTCGGCGAATTCAGATTATCTCTCTCTAAAATATCTTCTGACCAAACTTTCTGTTATTCTGTGGCTCTACCTGATTACTCTTAAATGGAAAATCAGTGCACCTGAAAATACCCCAAGAAGTCAATGTAACTTCTGAAAGTTAAAGTCTTCGAGTAAGAAACTTTTAAAAATAATTGTTCAGCAACCTTAATTTGGTAATAAAATATTTCATTTCATAACTTTTTAATAACAGTTTATCATTCATTTGTTTCTTTGTTTTAGTGCCAAGCTACAAAATGAGCTATATGCGCTTTATTCACTACAAGGACTTAAACTCCATAATCTTATTGCTGTGGTATATCCATATGAAACTGAATTAACTCTAGAGCTACACTTAATAGGTCTAATTGATAAATGGAGATTCAATCAAGTTATCGATTATGGAGTAGTACTAAATCTCTTGTTTTGTTCTAATCACGTGGTGGTTTCACATAACACGTGGTCGAGTAAACTATTAAATTGAACTTGTTTCAAATTATCTTTGTTATTATCAGAAATGGATAATACCTCTTACCATCTGTGGAGGATATTACTTAACACGACACGTTGAGCAAGGATGTCGATAGCAGTGTCCTTCAATGGTTGTTGAGGCGATATCTATATGTTACAGCTCGATATGTGTTATAATGAGAACGACCAGTCACGCTTGTTGCTCTAGATAAGCGCGATGTTTCTTTTGTACTAAGA